AAATATTAATAACAATCGCGGCCTGACCTTGTAAAAGTTGAACGAACAACGAGCACGAAACACAGAAAATGGAGGGCAAAGGATTAGGAAATGAAAATGAAAGAAAAATGAAACGTAGATAGATATTCTTGAAAACAATTAAAATAATAGTTTCTTATTAAGCTGTGAAAAATCTGGGAAAGCTGAAAATAAGAAAACTATTATATTTGCAACATCTCGTCTCGTTGAAGATAATAATAGGGAAATTAACCGAGTGCCAAGCGAATCAGAATCCTAACACCGCGTAATACGAATTAATACGAACGAGCAATTTGTTCAATAAAACGAAGTTAATAGAGTTGCGTGCGACTCGGGTCGAGAGACGCTCGATTTAAATGGCGAACAAAGTGGTGAAATGGATTAAAGCGACGTTTCGCGACAACGTTGTGCAACTCTTGCGTGACGTAGCTACGAGGCGCGTCGTTTCAACTTGCGCAGTTTCACGCGCGTGTAACCGGCGATGGCTATTGACAACGTTTTACCTGTTCGAGCTTCATCTCGTTTAGAGGTCCTTATATGGCCGACGACAAGGCAGGCAACCTTCGAGGAGATCTCGCGTTCGAAAATGCTCGCGTATCTGCATGGAACTGTGTCGTACAGTTACGCAATCTTACGTTGCGTCTCCCAAAAGTGGGTGAATTCTAGATTTCGTACCTCTTTTCTTTTTCTTATTTCCGTTGCTGAACTCGTCCGTCATTGTAGATTCAACGTCTGTGGATCTTTTGTCGATATTCTATGCGAAGACCAGTGGAACAAGATGAGGTAGTACATACTCGTCAACTTCGGGAGTTATCCAGTTTCATCGTAACGAAGTAAGTTACAAAAATAAGTTGAAGAAGTTGAAAAAAAGGATAAAAGCGAAGAAGAGATTTGTTACCGTGATACGTGAATCATAATTGGATTAGCAATCGAATAGAAACATTTGCGTTGTACTTGAAAATGGTTGTTGGAAAGTAGGTTGTTTACATCGAATGAATCTACGATGAAGTTCTTACTTAAGGTAATCAACCTTCTAAAGGAACGTAGTTGGCCAACTGATCATTTCAGGAGCAAATCTTCCGTCACCGACAATTTTTATACCGATATGGAAACTGGTCGAACTGTGGCTCTCCTTGCGCTCGCGATCAAGGTGAATCGATGTAATCGATGCAATTCCACCGATCTTTCGCTTCTTTTTTTCCTCCGACTCGCGAAAAAGAAATTTCGACCATGCGCTCTGTTTCGAGCATGGGAATTTTTGCAGTAGCAAACTCGCTTGAAGTAAGAAAAAAATTTCGAAAAAATTTATATTTATACTGTACAGAAGCGTCGCGTCATTGCTTGCACAGCGAATTCTACTCTTCGTGGAATGCAAAATTCATACGAGCCATGCTTCAATATCAACTCGATATCAAGCTGATATTTATTCAACGCTTATCTTCACCATTTGATAGTTTTCTAAAAATTGTTGTACATCAGTCTAAATGTTTTCTTATGTTGGCTGATCGATGATCGTTGAAATATCGCCGAGTATCGTGCTCGATATTTATTATATTTGTTGATAATTGCCTCTAAATCGTCATGTTGCTGATATGATAGGAAGTAATTAGCAGTACTTCGACAGAAAATCTCTCCTATTTTTAATGGAAATGAATCGAACCTAACATATAGTAATCATCAATAATAAGATTAAAAGAGATAAAATTTGTAGGATGCGAATTTTATCCGTTTTAAAATTTTTATAAACATCACATCAGAAGAAATTTGCTTCATTCTGTTATATCTATTTTGTACATTTTGCAATTGCAAAGTAAAATTCCATAGATAAAATTTAAAAAGATACTTTCAAGCGAAACAACAAATCTTGATTTGTGATTTCATCAATCAGAATAATACTGTAATTGTAACTTGGTTAACAATATTAATTGTACGGCCGGTAAATTAATCCAAGTGGACTCGATGCAACGAAAAAAATGATTTCGTCGGTGGCATTTCATCTCGGGAAAAGAGTAATTCCTTCGATTCGTCCGACGGTTCATTGATGGCCAGGCCTTTGACCCAATTTTCATGACCGTGAACGAGCTAGAGCGCCGTTAAAAGGCACGTTGTCGTAAGTGCTCGGGGAGACACGAGGCGATCCTTTAATTGCAGACACTTGCACCGGCAAATGACGCACGTCCATGCCCGCTATAGTCCTCCATACGAGTCGTACTTTTTGCGGAACGATCCGCGTCATTGCAACGAATTGCATTTCTTCTTTTGGATTTCGACGACAAGAAAATGACGTCAGCAATAAAAATCGACCTTTCGATGAAAGATTATCGACATTTGTAATACCCTTAAGCAGAGAACGAAATTTCAGCGATAAAAGAGTGAACGCTTCAGTTAACTCGAGAATAAACAGCGAGATGAAAAATAGATGTACATACAACGACGCTTAAAAATATCTCAAGCATGCGATATCTAATCGCGCTAAGTGCAATGATCAAGTGAAATAATCTAATATCGACACGTCGTTTACTTCGCTCGGGAAAGACATTACATTAAGTTTGTTTGATCGTGATATACACAATCTCGACAAACATCATGCTTGTATTTTCGTGATTTGGACAAGAGATACGCAGGTACTTCTTTTTAGAAGCGTCACTCAGCGTCAGAAGGAGCAAGAAGAACGATATAGGCGAGGGGTTCGCTCGTTGTAACCCCGCATAATTTTCAACACAATAGATTCCACGCCACGCCCTTCGAACTTCAGGAGCCTGCTCGAGAAGAGCCCAGCTTCAAGATCGCCCGGCATGCAACCGGGAATCTTATATAGGTAGACGTCACACCCTGTCCCTAAACTCCTCGTTTTGCCTTATAGAGACTTTCTATGAGCTATATTATGTGGCCTTCCTAAAATTCGATGCAACGATAAGCCCATTATTCTTCAGCCTCTTTGTGTCTGTGCATTTCTTTAACAACGTTACAGCGAGAAATTTATTTCCTCTTTTCTTAGAACACTTCTCATATTTTTTCATATCCTCACAACGATAAATTTATTTATTTATTTTTTCTTTTCGAAATATCTTCTCGTATTTTTGCATTGCATCAGTTTAAAGGTCCTTCTTTACGAGGTTGAAAATTGAACGAAATTTCAAATTTTGTAAAAAAAAAAAAAAAAAGAAGAAAACACAAGGATGGGAGGGACGATTAAAAGAATCTTTTATTCGCATTCGTAATAAGTATAATAATAGATATCAAACTAAGAAAGATAGACTACAATGATGCATGTGAAAAATTGCAAAGCGACCGATGACTTGGCAGAAGAATTTATGCTCCCGCGGAATTACGTACGTAGAATACTCGCCGATGTTATAATCCCGTACTAAGTAATCCGAGAGATACTTTCATGAGCGAATCATGATGCCGCGGCGAATCATGATGGTCTGCCTCTACATTTCACTCGATCGTCTTAAAGCTGCGAGCATTTTTCGACTGCGAGCCGTCGTTCTTTCCTCGTTAATGAAATTATCGTGCGCTTACTTAATACCTAAATATAGATTTCGCATCGTGCTCTACGTCGTACATGGACTTGTATCGCGGAGATAGTGCGCGTTTGTTGGAACGAATCGAATGTTATCATTGGAATACGAGAAAACGGTTGTAGAGGAACACTTGTCGCTGCAGGTTTTCTGTTATCGCTGTCCAAACACAATTTCTAACAACTGAAGAATTTATATTAATTTACGAGAGAGACACTCGAGGAGGAACGATTTTCATTTCATCAATTTTTCACGTTAATGTAATATTGATTCTCTAATAAGTAAGTTTGTGCATAGAATGAGACTTCGTGATACAACAGTTTATGTTACGTGATTTACGATGAAAGCATCCGTGACAAAGATATGTACACACGGACTAGGGACGCTTAAAACGCGAGTGATGGCAGCAAATGCTTTCACGTTAAAATAAGACAGCGAAGTAAGACAAGCGGAGAAAGTTTGTTTGTACATAGAAACATCGCGAACTTCCCTGTCGGTGTTTCACTGACGAAGGTGAGCCGTAACAACAAAATATGTATCTCGCAAAATAGTCAGATAACAAGACAGAGAGTTCGAGAAAATGAGACGTGGTTTACTTCCGCGAAAGCTCGAACACTTCGAATTCAATCAAATCGAATCAAATTTAAGAGTCGCTATTATTCCCATTAATGGCAAGTATTGTGCACGTTCTTCTTTTGCGATGGAGCTGCAACTTCAATTGGACTAAACGTCGCTGAACAATTTAAACGTGAAAATTTTAACGTGAAACTTCTTTCAATCAAATGGGTGTTGTTCACGAACCTTGTGATTTATATGTCGAAAATTTCTGATTCACAATTTCTGATACGATTGATGTTTACAAAGTTTGATGTATCAATGTGTTTTAAAATTCGAAAAAAAATTCGAATGAAGACAAACATATGCGCGACGATGAATTGACTATAAATTGACAATTTCCAATTTCGCTTTAAGATCGCTTGAAACAAGGCTACCAGACATCAAATCGACGGTATATTATTCTAATTGCACGCACCGGTTCAACAGATAGTTTTACGACTCAGGCACATGAAATACATCACGATCAAGACACCGTATGCCTAACGGAATACACATATTGCATCGGGATGAATGCGACCGGGGTCCATGCATACGAACCTCTCCTTTTTAGGTAGCCTTTACGTGAATAACTGTGCAGTCATTACGCGTTCTCTACTTCACGAAACACAAGCTTCGCCGAGTTGTTGTCGTGGTCGTTCATAATTCTTTCATGAAGATTTTGAATTCAAAAACGAATTCGTTACTTGAAAATGATCAAAAGAGTTCCCTGATCCCTGTTTCGAAGTCGGAGTAGAGATTTATTTTGTTATATATAAGTATTGCACAGGTAAATCCGATAAGCATCTCGTCGTTCTTCAAAAGTAAGATTCAGACAATTCCCCTCTGAAGATCTTCGTAACAATGAGAAAGTAAATGAGTAGACGTCTTCAATCTTCTCAAGCAACGCAGAAGAACTTTCTCCGAAACGATGCTCGTGCTCGCGGAGAGAAGATTTGCGAGGCACCTCGAAGAAACAACGAGCGAAGTGTTTAAACATGTTGGGTCAGTGACTCCGGCTACGCTCGTGTCGCACACGGACCCTACAGGATGTGCTACTTGGATCACTGGCACATCGCATAATTAATAACAAGCGGTCACCAGTGGCTCGTGCCCCTTCGAGCTCGGAAGATCGACATGGATCTCTTGAAATTTCCGACGCAACGACGCGTGAATCGTGCGCGAAACAAACGAGACTAACAAATCTGAATTTCTCCTCGACACATCGACACCGAAAATTTCTGCGTTTCTCTCGTCAATTTTATTTTACACACACGATAGTTCCATCGCGTTTGTTAATTTAGCCTCGAGCTTCTGAAGAAAACCGAGACTGACCGTCTGATCGTAAATGCATCTCTGTTGCAGATCAACAGCAAATACAGCGAGGAACTGGCGCAGGAATGTTTGGAATGGATCAAAACGATCACCGGCGAGAATATAAACACCAACGGGGACATGGATAATTTCTTTGAAACGCTGAAAGACGGAGTCCTCCTTTGCAAGTACTTGACTTCGTTGAACGATATCGATCGAATGTTGCTTCGATTCTTTTTTTCGATCGTTAATTATCTTATTCTTTCTCCCTCGCAGTCTAGTGAACGACATTAAAGAGGGATCGGTGAAGAAAATTAATAAGACTAGTTTGGCCTTCAAGTGCATGGAGAACATCAACGCGTTCCTCGAAGCTGCGAGAGTGCTCGGCGTCCCGGCGCAAGAGACCTTCCAGACTGTGGATCTCTGGGAAAGACAAAATCTCAACTCGGTCGTAATTTGCTTGCAGTCCCTCGGTAGAAAGGTACACACATACGTAACGTCCTTTCCTCTTTCAAAAGCTCACTGCTTTACTGCAAATAACAACGATTCAAGACTTCGAAAGTTAAATACGTTCTTTCGAAGAATGCTTCGACCCCTTGAAAAACAGTTGCTATGGAGCTATTCAACGACGAATACAGAAATATTAGAACGTTCAGGCAGAAAGCCATTGAATAATTTAGAATTATTGCTCATAAAGGAAATTAACTTTCGATGATTATTTAGCGACGAATGATTTCGCGATTAGCGTTTTAATTGAACATCTTTATTTTCAGGCTGGTAATTATGGCAAACCAAGTATCGGACCAAAAGAAGCGGACAAAAATATACGCAACTTTACGGAAGAGCAATTAAGAGCTGGACAGGGTGTGATCAGTCTGCAATACGGCAGTAATAAGGGTGCTAATCAGAGCGGTATTAACTTCGGCAATACCAGACACATGTAAATCTGTTTCATTTAAATGTTGTACAACGAAATTTCACCCGCGTCTATTATTTTATTTCTAAGATACACTAGATTTACGGACATTTATTTTATAAAGGTTAGTAGAAGATTTGACATGAAAATAAAATTACGTTGTATTAAGATTCCAATTTACATTGTTACAAGATCGAAACGCATTCGAATACTTATTGTATTGTAAAATTATGTCATATAGTTTCTGAAGTGTTACGAGGTTATGAAAACTTTTATAGTTTTCTTATTGAAATTAAGAAATATTATATTATGCGATAAAAAAAAGATCGTGCCCTAAGAACCAACAGAAGTGGAAGAATAAGATGACATTAAACAGTTAAGATATGTCAATGTTGTGTTGTTTCATTATGTATCACTCCTTTTCGTATGTATATGTCATGTCAATGCTCGAACATTCGAACTTACTTTCATTTACGATTTACATTCCGCGTATAAGAGATAAATGCTGCTACGCTCTTAAATGTTTCTTGAATTTTAGGAAAGTTGATGGTAATAAAGTGATACTTATGGAACCCTGTTTTTCTTTATTACATTGTAAGAAAGGACGAATGTTTCCCGTTAGATACCTAATTACATAACTTAGTGGAAGAATTTGGAGCATTTTATACATGAAATATTTAAAGAAATCCAATTATTTATCAACGCAACATTAACGAGAAAAATAATCGAAACAACCGCAATGAAAATCGTAACAATCAATATTTAAAATAATTGTTTTTTGATCATTTGAATGTTATATGTGTATTAGTTATATGAAAATCTATTAGATTCTGAAAATGAATTAGTTTCTGAATAAAATCAAAATACATTTAATATTGATCTTTGAAAAAAATCATTTGTAAATTTAGGTAGAAATTATTTAAATCTAGTTGAATTTTGATAAAAATTGCAGAAAAATCGGATTCGATTGTGATTTTATTGCATTCAAAATTACAACTATATTACAGTAATGCTTCGATTTAAAATTGGATAAATTTTTGATTTTTGGACAAGGACATTAATGTTAAATTTTCGAAGTACAAAAATATATAAAAATATTAAATGCATTAATGTTTGTAAAACGATATCAAGCTAAGAACTACGCAACCTACAGTTCAG